CTATTATGAAACAGTCTTTAATTATATGAAAACAGTCTTTAATTATATAAACCCATATATTTTCCACTGTATGAATAGCCATTTACACTCCTGAAAACTGAGAACTTGTTTTCTCTGCAAAATAGGTATTAAACACCTTCAGCTGCTAGAGGTGCAAAATGAGCTGCTACAAGTAAGAGAGAGATAAGAAATGGCTGACAACAAGAGAGCTGTATTAGCAGTAACATATTTTTTGTGGCACCAGATCCTGCAGAGTATTTTCAGTTTATGGAGCAGAGACATACCATCATCATGCATAAATTACACTGAGTTCAGGAGGAAAAAATACCCAAGTAGTTCAGCAGTGAAAGAGATTTCATCTCTAACTCCTTTGCTTCCATCACTACTCTACTTTTTATCCCTCTCTCTTTTTTTCTTGCCCTTGGATCTTTTTCAGGTTATTTTGATTGCACAAGTGATTTGAGTATTTACTCTCATGTACTAGTATTTTTAAATGGTGACATATTTCTCTGAGTTCGAAGGGTTTTTTTTTATTTGGAACAATTATATTTTTGTACCCATACGGCTGCTTAGATGACATGATAGGGCCAACAATTAAAATCTCAAATGAACAGAAGTTGATTATGCCTTACAGATATATAGCTATGTATACCCAGTACTGTGCACTTCTTACATATTTTAAATTCAGAAACACAGTGTAATTGTTTGGCCCTTTTAAACATGAAAGGATGTCAACATTTGGAGTTCCGTAAAAATATGCAGGGCAAGAGAAATGGGCTTGGAAATGCATAAATCGAATTCCAATGCTTTCAATTTATAAGCACATTTGTAAGGATTTCCGAACAAAGGATAAATACTTGAATAGTCTTATTTTTTCCTCTAAGGGTTCTCTAGTACATTTACTAAAAGAATTAGAAAAGCAACAATGAGGAGAAGAAAAAAAAAAAAAAAAAAAAAAAAACTTGTTGGGCACTTGGAAACGAAACGCTTTAAAGTCAGCAGTTTGGAGCCCATTTGAAAAATGTGGTTTGACACAGTGAACTTTTGGATGGCGGCCATGCACGCAAATGGCTGTCCTTACACAGATGTGACAGACTCTCTCTCTCTCTCCAGTGTTTACTACAGTTTCCAGCAGTAATGTTTAATAAAGGTTTCTTACCTCTTCCTTGGAGGATAAGGAGAGGGGAAGCAATCTTCTTCCCCAAGGCAACTTATTTTCCCTTGTACCCACATACACACTCAAGTCAACTTATTTTCCCTTGATCTTAACCCTCAGGAGTATATATAACACATACTTTCTATAGGTATACACATACATGTGTTATATATATTCATATATTTTCTAGATACATGTCACAATTACATGTAATTCATTGCATGTTGGGAAGGACTAGGTAGAAGTATCACCTTTTCAGTTTTAAGTGAACATAAATATCTTTCAAAGTTCTTTCAAAACGAAGGAGTTTCAAGGTAAGGCCCATTGCCTTGCATTTCCCAGGGATGCACACATACAGATAGCTACTGCAGTTCAGTTGACAGGCAATAACTTGTTGAATTATTGTGGCCTGAGGATATGTTTGTGCCCTTATTCTTGTCAAGCTGAGATTGACTTGAACCTATAAGAAAGCATGAAGGTAATGGGCAAGAACCTTTTTATAATAGGCAAATGCTCCTTTCCTCTCTCTTCACTAGTAATAGCCGTAAACAGGAATTAAAGCATATTTGATACACTTTTGGATTCTGTTTTCAGTTCTCGCTTTAACAGGTGGCTTTGTCCAATATTACCACATTATCACAACCCAAGTGTAGTTTAAAATGTTGCAAGTTCTGTTTTTCTGTGGTAGATCTGTAAAAAAGATCTGAAACTTTTTAGTAACACTGATTCCAGTAGTGACTGTAACCAGTCATGGTTCTAAGACAACATTCTGAGCAAATAAACCTGAAGGAAATGATAAAGGAAGTCTTTTTACATTTTGTCCACTCTCTCTTTGGTATAATTGGCTGAAAATTCAACAATTCTGTTTATTGTCAAACCTCATAGTGATACAGCGGGGATTCATAAGTTCTGTCCTTCCAGCATCATTCCTATTTAACCATCTAGGATTAACAAAAACTTTACTTGCTTTTAAGAACCACACCTTTGCATAAACTGAGATTAGAATGTACTATTGCTTAGCCAAGGAAAAAATGTACATTTAGACTTACATCTCAAAGTTTTGCAAGAGGCAACCTGATATTTTGAATAATTCTTTAGCACTTAGCACAGTTCCAGAATATGTTGGAACTAAGACTTAGAAAATGTTTGCATTATTTTGCATTATTATGCTGCATTATTTTTGAAATGCCTAGTATGTAGGCATCGTGAAATGCCTAGTATGCAGATGAAGGTTCTTTCAGGGATCATAAAACAGCATGTACTTCCTCTCTCCTTTCTTAACATATCACTTCCAGTTTACAAAGCATTTAGTTATACATTTAAATGTAAGCATGTGCCTAAAACCCATAGATGTAAATGCCAGTTTAAAGTTTAACACATCCTTGCTTTATGCAGACGTTAGGTCTGTGAGTCTGAAAAGGACGAGACTTTATGAAAATGGGTATATATCTGAATAACATAGAAGGCAGAGTTCAGTAATGCCCAACGGGCCACTATTACAATGGCAATCCACTTCTGCAGTGTTGCTCTGCAGGGAAGATCACTATCATTGTAATTAGAACTGCAGCACAATGGACTGCTCAGAGCAGCTCTTCTAAAGAGGGCTTTGAAGGTGAAAATGAGTGGTAGACATTCTCAGGAAGAGAAGGCTGCTTTCTCAAGTTGTAAAAAGGAATTCAACCAAATATAATAAATCTTAAATAGCTAAATGTCTAAAATAATTTCATTTTTCCCCTGAATATTTAAAAAGAAATTGCTGTGTTTCTGGAGGGTTTGTTGTTAATGAGCACCATGAGAAATAAATGTTATTTGTAGTTTCTGAGAATCAAGCATAGTATGTAGTTTTATTTGTAAATAGATGCATATAGGGGCAAATGAAAAAAACACAAGTAAAATAGTCCAGCCTTTGGTGAACTTCCTCTGTTTTTGCTTTCAAAATTAACAGTAATTTTCTACTCATTATACAGACTTAAGTTCTAAAAATTCATTAGTTCTAGAGAGGTACACTGGCACAGTAGGTGTATTGACATGGGAAGTATTTGAAGACATTCTGACCAGTAAATGATGAGTTACTTTCATTAGTGATTTTTATCAACTTGTTTACTGCCTGTGCTGTCCTTAACCTTCTAAAGACTAGATCAGGCTAGTGTCTAAAACTGACAACCTGACAGCAAAATAGACTTCCTAATTCTCATGCAAAAGCTATCAAATGTTGCTGTGTAGAGAGCTTTTTTTAAATAGTTTTGCTGCTTTTAACAGAATTATATCCTGGAACTTTTCAGATCAGGCAGAAACTGATACAGTCTGTTAAAACCTGGAACTACTGCTGCAAGAATGCTAGCAACGGAGTGAGAAGTTTTCTCTGTGAAAGATTGTAGTGCTGCTGCCAACAGAGACTTTCAAGTGATGCAAAAAGGTTGCAGTGCTGGTTGTGGGCTGTGTTTGTTTGTTTGTTTATTTTTAACAAATAACTTTGAAGATTTGGAAAACAGGTCAAAGTACTTAGCTCTATGAGCAATAGTTATCAAGAAAGAACATAAAGGGAAGCAGAGGTAATAATTCCCGAAAGTAACACGGAAAAGTACCTCTAGCCATGAACTAGAAGCAGGAAAAGCATTTATATTCTTATCTAAAATACAATAATATTCTAGTAGATAGATCATCTGCCATAATAATGAAAATGCTGATATAGTATGAAGACAGTGTTTCAAAATGCAGTTCCAGTTCATGTAGAAGACTTTAGCTTCTATATTGACTTGAGTTTTGATGATATATTTTAATAACCTAATCCCATTTGGCAAGTTACAATGATGTAGAAAATATGCTCTAACTTTGCACTCTACAGCTTTGATCTTACAGTAGAATATAGTACTACAAAACAAAGGTAAATAGAAATATTAGAGCAGATAATATTAAGTTATGACAGCATAGATAATTTCTTAGGTTTTAATCAAAGATATTCTGGGGGAAGGAGGCATATTTAAATTATTTTCATAAGTTAAGAAGATGTAGTCTGTGGTTTTCTTAAAAACTTGCTGCCATGGAAATACCCATTTTTTGTCCTTTTTCTCATTAATGTAGATTGAATCTCATTCAGTGTAAACGTATCAGGATTAAAAAATTATCTTAAATTAAAAACAGTATTTATAATTTAAATTATCTTCAATAGATACAGTTAGATTTTTGATACTGCTCATATATTTTACACTTGAAAGAATGTTCTTCAAAGCTAGAGACATTATTTCTATTAAAAACCATTGCTACTTAAGTATGTTAAAACAGTGGAAGTCCAAGGTTTCACGTGAAAAATTACCATGGTGTCATGACACAAGAGACAAAGCAAAATGGTACCTTTGATAGAATCTGAACAACTGTGGGCCTCTTGGTTCTTAGAGAGCGCCTTTACGAATGGAGGTTCGTGTAATTGTGACTCCCTCTTGTGGATGGCTTACCCAGCTCCGCAGTGGGATATGTGCTCAGTGTTGAAACCATCAATTAAAACCTGAGAGGTCTTTGTTTTCATGGTGAAGATCTGATTCCTCATGGACAGTCAGAGTGTTCTTGCATGCATCTCCACTCATTAAGCATTCCTTTAGTGATCCTTTTTTTATAGACTTTTATGAAATGAAACGAAATGAAATGAAATGATAAAAGACTTTTTCATAATACATTTGCTGAAAAAATATCTATATATAAATATAGATATACAACTAATGTTTATACATTAGTAACTGGAACATCCTTTATTTTTTTGCTATGCTAAGATCCTAATTATACTTTCTAGATTCTATTTATGTGAATATAAATTGCTAAGACTTTTACACCCTATGTAATTTTATTTCAGGTTCCACCAAAGTAAACCTTGTCAAGATCCCATCAACAGCTTCCAGTCCTCGGGACACTGCTCTAGCTGCAGTTATTTGCAGTGCACTTGCCACAGTGCTCTTAGCTCTTCTTATTCTTTGTGTTATATATTGCAAGAGGCAGTTTATGGAGAAGAAACCAAGCTGTAAGTTTCCAACGATTACTGTTTCTTTGTAATAATTATATACCAGTATTAGTTTGGCAAAGCTTTTTGGAGATAAATAATTAAAATGGAGAATGAGTGTATCTACAGCATTCAGGGGATTTAGCATTGATATGAGCAAACTAGCACAAGTCTAAGACTATAAATCCATGCAGTGGCTCAATGTGGATGTTCCAGCTTCTATTGAGAAACCTCTGTGCAGATGTCCATGTGCAGTCCAGTTGCATGAATTCTGCACCGTACACTCTTAGAGGCTGCTGATAGGTAATATTTGGACCATTTGGGATCTAAGCTGGAATGTCATCACAGAACTGCAATGCATACGTGGATATGCCAACTCGGAGGATCCCAGCCTCGCATTTCATTGCAAAATGTGGATTATCTCAATGAGATGATGAATGTGGTCAAAGGAGATAGATCTTCATTAATCCAATCTACTCCAATTGCAGTTGTAAAGTGAAAAAAAAAACACCTCCTCAATATAATTCACGTATTGTTTTAAGTAAACAATACTTCTGGTCTTCGTTTTAAATTAAAAAATAAAAAACTGAAAAGCAATCTAGTTCATCCTATTGGTCATCTAGAAATCTTTTTTTAAAAATGTTGGTTAATATTTAACAAATCCTGGCTGTCAAAGAAGAATAATATCAACAAGGAAAAATTGCTGTTATCATTACTTACAGTGCAAACAAAAATTGTGCCTAACGTAGGAGATGCTTTACAATGTAAGTTTTAAGATTTTTTTACTAAATTTCTTCAGCCTTCACTTAATGAAACTGAGTAGCTAATTTGTTTTGGCCTACAATTATATAGATTAGATGAAGTCTGCTGCTAGTATAAAGCTCCTTAAGGTAACGTAAACAAAATTTCAAGGGCTGAAAGCTCAGTGCAGGAAGGTTCAAACAAATTCTGCGAAGCTTCAAGTACTGAGAAAATGTAAGAACTTTCAAGTCCTCATCAAGATAAGAGCAGAGGAAGCAGTTCTAGGGTTTCTACAAAATCTGTGGTTTGCTTTCTGTCAAGCAACACATCATCATAGAGGATCTTTCTATTTGAAAATCTTGTGCACATACTGTACACTCTGACATTTATGCATTGTGTGAATATACAAGACCGAACAAGAAAAAAAATGTCGTTTACTAATATATATTTTTTTTTTTTGTCCAAAGGGTCTCTGAGATCACAAGATATTCACTACAACGGCTCTGAACTGTCGTGCTTGGACAGACCACGGCTAAGCGAGTACGAGCCCCAGCCGTGCTGCCAGTGCCAGAGAGGCTCCTCTGCCACGTGTGGTACGTACAATGGTGACATCAGGGGGACTTCACAGGACAGGAGTAGCACGAGCTCAGAGGGAAGAGCTGTCTCACCTTGTGACAGTGGCTTTAACCAAAAATTAGCCTTCGTCCTTTTAATTAGAATGGTTGTGAATGTCATTAAAAAAGGGTTTTCTCAGGAAGGACACAGAATTTCTAAGTAGCTGTTTGGCTATGTTGTTTTCCCTGTTTTCATTCAATTGACCCTTTTATTGATCCTTAAATAAAAGCCTCTTTAGACTTTTATTTTTATATAGGCATTTTATTTTATGTAGCTATTATATTATTTTCTCATAAAAATAATGCTAGACCTGCCTTTGAGACTTAAACTGATATGAATGATCTGTCAGACAATCTAAAAATGGAATAATACCTCTAAAACCCATTGAAAACCAGAACAATTTTGCATATCAGAACAGATGCATTTGTGACTTTGACCAATATATAATTTAACATGAGAACACAGGTTTAAATATCAGCCTGCTGCATTAGCCCTCCAAGTGTGGTGTTTCCTATATGCCTAAATGCCAAATAAATTAGAAAGTAGATATTTAAATCATCATGACTGCCATCTGTATTATTCTCAGATTAAAGACTTGTCTTTTAAAAGTAAGTCCATTTTAAAGTAATAAATGAAATAAATGTGGGGTTTTTTGCTATAAGGAATATCTTGCAATATTGTAATGTGACTGGTAAAATAATACATCTTCAAGAGTACAGAGAAACTACATTTATGCCCAGCTTTTAGTAAATTTTATTAATAATTTTAATTAAGACATTATTTATTATCATAATTAAATTGAGTTTTATTCTTTAGGACCAGTTCACTTGATTCCATCATTGTGCTGTGACGAGACCTGTAGCATGGAACACAGCAGTCACAGTTGTGCTTTCCACTCACAGACTACCCTTAATGAAAGGTAACTTAGCTTTATAAACGTCTATTAAATATTGACTGTTAAATGTTAGCTATATCCAATTAATATTTAGATAGATATGATAAGTGTTTGGAGCTGAGCAAAGGATTTTGAGGAATAGCCATCATATTCCCCTGTTTATGTTGAAAAATTTTGCATCAATGAGGAAAAAAATTATGTACAAGGACAAGTGCAGGGTCCTGCACCTGGGGAGGAATAACCCCAGGCACCAGTACAGATTAGAGGTCGACCTGCTGGAAAGCACCTCCACGGAGAGGGACCTGGGAGTCCTGGTTGACACCAAGTTAACCATGAGGCAGCAGTGCCCTTGTGGCCAAGAAGGCCAATGGGATCCTGGCCTGCATCAGGAGGATGTTGCCAGCAGGTCAAGGGAGGGAATCCTGCCCCTCTGCTCAATTCTGGTGAGGCCGCACCTGGAGTATTGGGGGCAGTTCTGGGCTCCCCAGTATAAGAGGGACGTGGAGCTTCTCGAGAGGGTCCAGAGAAGAGCAACTAAGATGATTAAGGGAATGGAACATCTCTCGTATGAAGAGAGGCTGAGTGAGCTGGGCCTGTTTTCTCTGGAGAAGAGAAGGCTCAGAGGGGATATGATTAACATGTATAAGCTCAGGAAGGGAGAATGCAGAGAGGAAGGGGACAGGCTGTTTTCACTGGTGGCCAGCGATAGGACGAGGGGTAATGGCCACAAGCTGGAGCACAGGAAGTTCCGTCTCCAGATGAGGAGGAACTTCTTTACTGTTAGGGTGACAGAGCAGTGGAACAGGCTGCCCAGGGGGGTTGTGGAGTCTCCTACTCTGGAGGTCTTCAAAACCCATCTGGATGCCACCCTGTGCCACATGCTGTAGGTGTGCCTGCTTGAGCGGGAAGGTTGGACTAGATGATCTCTAGAGGTCCCTTCCAACCTTGAATATTCTGTGATTCTGTGATGTACTGCTCCAGTATTTTTAATAAGTTCTGAGGAGTTAAATTGGTTTTTCTGAAGAGGTGACTTATATGTCTTGTGAGTAGATATTACTCCATGCTGCGCCAGAGGTTTTGGGGAAGAGCAGGATGCACAGCGTAGCAAAATGCTGTATAATCCCATGAACCTGATGGGATTAAATTCATAGAGTTTATGAGTATCATGAAGCTTTTGTTTTTTTAAAAACCCTTAATGACTGTGAGACTTAAAGTACATGTAGTAACCCTGAAATTTCTGTCGGAGTGTAACAATTGTTTGCTCCTAATCAAATATAAATACAGTGACGGTTATTTATATATCAGTGCCATGAGTTAAATATATAAAATTGAGGGTCTCATCCAGAATTTCCTGGATACAGTTGTTAGCACAGGATGTATTAATTTCTTTTAACTAGAATTGTTTTCCATATAAGGTTTAAATTAGTCTCTAACTGTTTCGTTCTTGTGGCCAAATATAACTAAAAATACATATGCCGCTTCTTCATAGGCATTGTTTATGCAAGATGGCCTTATATACTTAGTAACTTAAGTATAAGATGTAAAATATTTTTTTTTTCTTAATATAATAACTTATTTAAATGCCAGCAAAGTTAAGTCATTCCTTTACCCAGGAAGAATTCCTTTACCCAAGTCATTCCCACCACCCAGACTAACAAATTGAGAGTTGTGTAATTTGTGAGTGGTCTCCTGGTTAGATCTTTAAAAATAAATGTCATGCACATGTTATGTGGACATCAAAGATCTCGTAGTTCCTTCCAGTAGAAATGGAGTTGGCTCCAATTTCCTTTGCCAAAATAATGTATTTCCTTGCATTGTGGTTCAATGTCCTGACTGTTGGCCTCATCTATAAAAGCACTTTCTGTGTATCAGTGCTAATGAGGTGTCATGTTTCAGAAATGCAAAAGGCTACTTAAATACACTTATAAGGACTACTAATGTGGAATGAGATTTGGTCACAGGAATTGTTACTGTGTATCAGATTTAAAGTATGGCCTTTCATGGTCTGTGATTTTGCTGTTTTTGGAAATAAAAGAAACTAGTGTAACTTTTCCATGTTCTTAATTTTTTTAAGAGCAATTCTTAATTGCTTTAAAAAACTTTTCTGAAGTTTCAATGGAGACAGGTGTACGTAGTGGACTGAGACACGTCAGCATTTCCATGAGCCTTAAATACGCTCGAGTTGGACTGTTGAGTTGCTACTTCTACTTTCTTCTGTTTTACTTAAAAGAAAAATAGCCTTTCTAAGAACTAAAATTCTTGCAGTTCTTTAATATTATGGCCTTCCTACACAAAAGAGAATTGGAGCAAAACAGATGGAAGTGAAAAATCTGAGGTGAATGGACATTCAAAATGAAATGATGCAGATGGAAAGAATCTCAAGCAGTCATGTAGTCTATTCCCTTTTCCCAGTTTGGATTCTCCTTACTTCTTTTGTTCTTGTTAGATATTTATCTAGCCTGTTTTTACAAAAGCTGGTGTTGGGGATTCCACAGTCTTCCCAAACATCTCTCCAGCTGCAATTTAAGCCTGTTAGATCTTGCCTTTGCCCCCAACCCCAACACATGCATTGGAGAACAAATAAATCTCTTCCTCTTTGCAGTGGTCTCTCTGTATTGTGGTATCTTTCCATGCATTTTTTTTTCTTTTTTTTAGGCTAAACAATGTCAAGTATAGTTCGTATTTGCAGGAGCCCTGAATTCCCAATGCAAAGGACCCCAGAAATCCTCTCTACCTTTCAGAGTGCTCTCTAGAGCTCTCTGTCTCCCAGCTAAGGGACAACTGTTTCCTTTCAAAGTAATTTTTGTACATGCTGCTTCTAGAGAATTGGTTTCATATACCTCATTTTATCATCTTGAAATACCTGTCATTACTAATGACAAAAATTACAATATTGACAATATTTCCTACAATGCTTTTGAAACCATATGTCTTTTATTTTTTCGCAGGGCTTCTGATTCTGTTGGAGAAATGATTCCTGCCTTCCTTGGTTCTCTTTCACACTCTACGTGTGGAGACATTTCAGATGCTTGGCCTCTCATGCAAAACTCAGCTTGCTGTGACAGCATCTCTTTCTGTGAATCATACTCAGAACTGGCTGGAGGAGCTCCATATTCCTGCAGTCCTGAAGAGACTGAAAATGCAGGCACTGTTGAGTCAGATAATGAACAAGAACCAAGCGATGTACTTATTTCAGCTAAATCTCATGATGGAAACATTGTAAAGTCCTTTGAAATCTCCAAACACAGAACATATGTAGAGTTTTCATCTCTTCAGAATTCAGTGGCTGCTGAAAAGTCACCAAAGTCAAAACACAATGGAGCAACAAATAACTCCACAGACTAATGAAGAGGTAAGAAATATAACTATAAACAATGAGTGAGAATGTAGAAGTCCTCTAGGAATACAGAACTAGGTAAAATAATAAATAAATAAATATATATATATATATAAAAAAATTATAGGATTATGTTCCTCCACAAGTTGCCCTTAATGATTGCTAAAGTGCATCCTTACAAGAAGATTCTGTCATTCTTACGTTCACATTTTAATTTCATTTACTATATGTAAAAGATGTAATTACTCAAATTATAATTTTGAGATAGTGTAAACTAGAACACAGGGATGAACCTGTACACTAGTTAGTTTTTACTACCTTTTTTTTTTTTCCCCTCCATTAATTTTCACTGCAAACAGTCAGTAGAATAGCCTTCTACCCAAACTATTGTGTAAGGCTAGTCTGTGTTTGTGAGGGAATAGATTAGGAATTTACTATGTGCAATTTAAAGGAAAATTTTAAAACTTTTAAGGGATTATCTAAAAATATGCATGAAGCCTCCTCTGTGAGATGTCTACAGAAGAGATAATCAAATGCCTTTTAATGCCGTTCATATTCCTTTGTCATCACATAATTCTTGTCATTCTAAGAATTTGTCCATAGTTTGCCCATAAAATAAACATGTAATTTAATTAAGGAAAAAAAGCTGTTTTCTAATTCTAAGAGTTAGCTCAGGTCTTGAGTCAAAATAAGAAGGAATAAACAACTGTCTCCATAATAACAAGGTAAATATCATAAAAAAGTCACTCTGCTATGGTGTGATCATTACTTCTTTTTGGACATTAGATGTGGCCTGTATTTTAAAAATGGCAGTTTCTACTGTTGAAGTAACTTGGAGCAACAAGGAACCAGGCTCAGTAAGTGAAAGGATGCCAAAGTGTGTTGTGTGCACTCATATCATTACCCAGTGGTTTTGTAGATGTGGAACAATCTCCTATGAATGTACACAGACACAGGAACAGGAGCAGTTGCCATTAGCGTTAATAAGCCACCAAATTTAATTAAGAAAATTATTCTATCTGTAATTACGAAAATTCAGTTTTTATGCCGCTTTCTTGCTGTTCTTAAATAAGAAGCAGAAAGGAATTAGTATCTAACAAAAATCTGAACTCAAAATGTGAAATGCAATATCTTAATTCTGTTCAAATCAAGCCGTAACTCTTGTGGTGACCTTCTCATGAGGAAACAGAGTAGGACATCAAGAAACTTTTGCCATAGATTTCAATAGTTTGTCACCCTTAGAAACTACTGCTGTTGCTGGAAATACCAATCTTATCTAAGTCACATAACAGCTTTCAAAATAGACTCTTTACTTTTATGTTGAAGTTTGGAAATGTGATATATTGTTTTGTCTGCCGTACTGGAAGATGGTGGATGATGAATGGTCATTAATGTTCTCATCATTTTGTTTTGGTGCCTTCCAATCACCCTTGTAGGTGACATCCTGCACTCCCACCTCCCTGCTGTTCAGAGCTTCTCAGTGAACTTGGATGCTCTCCTCATGTTTTAAGGGAATGTGTTTCCATACCAACATGACAAAAAAAAAATGTGGGTTGCTTTGCCAGTTAAACTGAATAACGACTTAAGAGATATATAATTATTATCATTTAGAATTTTTAACAAATGAACGGAAACACAAATTAAAAATATCACTAAAAAGTAATTTAGATTTCTCTGAATTTTTATGCTGTCTATTTTTTCTTCTGATTCTTGTAAGTATAAATATGTAGAAATCATTTTTAATTGGGGCTTCAGTCATTCATTCCTTGATATCTCTATGACATCATGTGTTACTATTGAGATATGACTGTGAGTAAGCAAGATGGCTTGGGTGGCTTAGGGTTTCCTCCATTTATTTCTTCTCCGTAGGCTTCATAGACTCTTTTTGTGCAGTGTCTTCATACTCATAGCCTAGACTGCATCAGTGTATATGCATTTTTTGATACAGAAAACCATGATGCTGTAAACGGTGAATAAAGAAGTATGTTTTTTTTAGCATTTAGTCAAGTGTAGGAGAGCACACAGGTGTTTTATGAGTTGATGTAACCACAGTTGTGTCGCTTTCTTGCAGGAAGACAAGCCATTTGTGTCACCACTAAAACCGAATGCTTCCCTAGCGCTCCTGTGCCATTTCTCATCAGACATGCTGTGCTCCTCAGTGTAGCTCCAAAGCCAGATGGAAATAATCGGCAGCATTGCACCCCTTCCACACAAGCACTTGTGTCTGAGCCATACCAGCTGGAAGGTGAAGCTCCAAGGAGCATCCTGAGAGAATCCCGAGGAGGGATCCATGGTCTTTTCCATCTTTTTGAAAGAAAAAGCTTCTATTCCTTCTGATTCTCAGAAAGCCTCGTGGAATGAGCTTATATAAGTACATGTAAATACAACAAGAAGTGAAAAAAAATCTGAATATGTTTGGATGGGTGGCTTAAATGTGGCTACAGATGCCCAAAGGCATGGGACAAGACTGCCAGTTGTTTGGCTTGCAAATCTATGCATACATTAGGACTTTTTGGGGCTGGTTCTAATTCTAACTCAAGTTTCCTGCTATTGAAGGAGTGGAAAATGAAACATTTCTACTTATGCAAGGATCATCTGTTGAGAAACTGAAGCTTCTGTTATGTATTGCATTATAGTCAATAAGCTAGTTTGGGGAGTTAAACCATTTGCATGTTACAATATGTATGGTTGAAGTCCCCTCCGGCCAATTATTAACCTTGTGGGAGGGGACATTGTTTTATTTAATATAGCAGGAGATTAGCTCCAAATTAGATTTAGTTTACTGATATTTTTCTTGTTTAATTGGTAGGCTCAGTATTGGAATACAGCTCTTGTTGTTATAGTATGTATTCTTTGGCAGTTGAAATAATATCATGTCACACCAAAGTGTCAAACTATAGCAGGTGTGCCATGAAAGTATACATAAAATGAAAGCTGTTACTAATTTTTATAGTAATGGATTGTTTTCAAGGGTCAAGGTTCGTGTTGGCCTAATCCTTTCGTTTAACAGGCCTTTTTTCATTCATTTTGATCTCTCCTTCTCACTATAGTATTTTCCATAAATCTACTTTTTCCACACAAAATATAAAAATAATTGTGTAACTTTTTTGAAAATACCGCTGAATTGAATCCTCAACTTAGGGAAATACCTAGAAAATTATTAGTTTTCTGCCTTAATTGTTGTTCACATGTTTTATTTGCAGTTTGTCACGCTATATTCTGCATAGTCATTTGTTCTGCAGGTATTTTTTTAACTCAAATAGTGTTCACTTCTGTGAGTAAATCTGTAGCCTCCACTGAAAGTTGCATTCGAGAGGCTCAAGTCTGTCAGTGAACTCTGTCAAATATTCTATAAAGTTCCCAACGTGCCTTGGTAAAAGCAAAGCAATGGGCAGAACAAATGCAAGTTTACAGTAAGTACTACACATCTTCCCAACCGTGGGTTGCACAGCAGCAGAATTGATAAGATGTGCAAATCTTATCACAAATTCGTGATTCGTATGTGCAAAAATCATGAATAGCAATTGTCAAATCTGAATCAAATAATGTTATATAAATGTGGTAAAGACCATCTTTTGAGTACCAGTGTAGTAGAGAGTATGGGCAGCTCTACAATTACTCAACTACATACCTTAAAGGATATATATATATATGAATCAAATTAGTTTTGAATAGTTTTTGTGAATGCTTTCTTACATTTAAGAAATGACAAAATACTATTTTTCACTACATTTGCATGAAGAGATGTGTGCTTTGACATTTGTATATAATTTGTAAATAAGAAAAATCCAATGTACATTTCAGTCTATGGCAAGATCCTTTTAGAACATGTGGAGATTCCACTTTTTGTTAATACCAGTTATTTAAAATACTGTGTTCAAAAGCTTTGCCAGCAGCTGCCACAGTGAGTATGTTTTCCCATTGGAATTTACACCTTGTCTAATTATTTTTTGTGTCCGGCAACTCTAGATAAAAACACTCATTCTTTAAGTGAGTGACACGCAGCTTGAAAGCAAATTAGGAGGAAAATGAAGAGTGCTTTTTAAATATATATGTATATTGTGTATATGCTTTTTTTGCTCTTAATTTAACCAAATTGGTCTTTTTTATATTGCCTGTGGCAAGCAACGTTGTATATGCTAGCTGAAAACATACGCTAGCACCACATTTACACTGTCTGCATGTCACTCGTAGGGGCTCACAGTGCTGTTTTCAATGCTCCTTTAAAGAATCTAAATTAAAGCCATGTATAAATCATTTTGTAATACTTTTTCTACTTGTGAATAAAATGTTAAAAGAATCGCTCTGGGTTTGTTGATTTCAAATTAATAATAATCTATATAAAGATAGTGATCAGATCTTTAAATGTCTTAAGTGTTTGAGAATATTAATGGAGAGCTCTGGTGACCCGTTACTAGTGCAACCATTTATAGAACATTGCCAGAAGGGAAGGTTTGTGTGTTGAAAGGCAAGGAGTGCTGTGGAAGTGGAAGGCAACACTAACACAGATTATTAAGAAAGGGTTGACATGGTTTAATTGACAGAGCTCTGCACTGAGAAGAGAAACTTGTGGTTTGATAACTGCGTGTGTCCAAGTGATTCCTCATGGTAAAGACATAAGAGCAGTGCCTGGAAGCTGGATCCAGGCCATGATGTTAGGGAATATAAAAACAGGTTGTCTGGGGTAGAAAGTTTATAGCACTACTGGTTTTTGATAGGAAATCTCAAAATAAGTTGAATGATGCTGCCTGTCTCTTAGCAGGGCCTACTTTATGCTGGCGCATTTAGGTTAGTTCTTTTCCATGTGTTACTTTCCCTAGTCTTTTAAGTAGATAATTTAGAGCTTACCTGCAATAATATAATTAAAAAGAAAAAGAAGAAAAGACACTGCAATACAATACTCAGATTCGTACAAGCAAAACGGATAAAAGATAGGCAGATGTTACAGGCACTTCAGCTGTACGTGAACACCAACCAGCTCATGTTTTCAATCACGTTAAAATACATTTCACTTCTTTAATGACTAGTGACTATTCAACAAAATAGTCTGATCGTGTAATGTGCAAAACACTGATGGATTTACTGCGTTTGTAGGCCATGATAAATTTACAAAATTTGTTAGCAAAACTTAAGTGACAGAGGGTCAAGTTAAAGTTTCGCTTTATGTTTACTCTGAATCAAGGTTGTGAACACCATCATCTACAACATCTCAGCCCTCCCATAAGGACTTGGTAATGTGAATTAACGCGGTGYTGTGGGAGGCTAAGCTGTCCCAAGAGCCCATGTTTTTATTTGTCAAGTGACACCACATAACCTAAAGGCAGCTGGAGAATGTCTAAAACCTGCAAAAGATTATATTAATGCTAGTCCCAACAATTGCTAGCTATGTATGGAGGGAGGAAGGGATCAAGCTCTTCTCAGTGGTGGCCAGTGATGGGAAAAGGGGCAATGGGAACAAGTTAAAACCCAGGCAGTTCTATCTGCATGTGAGGAAGAACTCCTTTCCTGTGAGGGTGCCAGAGCCCTGGAAGAGGCTGCCCAGGGAGGCTGTGGAGTCTCCTTCTCTGGAGATCTTCCAAACCCATCTGGCTGCCACCCTGTGCCCCGTGCTCTGGGTGTCTCTGCTGGAGCAGGGGGTTGGACTAGATGATCTCTAGAGGTCCCTTCCAACCTCAACCAGTCTGTGATTCTGTGATAAACTTAACCGCACTGCAATGGTCTGTGTGATCTCGAGGAGCCAAACAGGCTGCTTCGGTGGTCTCTCCAGTACCCAAGGGAGTTATGACCGTGTACACAGGGAGACACCCAGTCTAGACAGCAGGTCAATAGCTGGGCCGGGGGCTTGTCTTAATGGGTGGGATGAGCTCGCCCAAAGGCCTCATGCAGCTTGTGAATCCGCAAAGCGGCTCATGATGTTGCTTTAGTTCATTTTTATCTGTTTGCATTGCCAGAGCTTGGTGACCAAAAGGAGTGGAAAAAGCAGGCGTTTTTATTATTTTATTGGAGATAAAAACATAGCCAAAAGAAAAAAACACAATGCAAACCAAATAGCAAGAATATATAAAATTCCTTAAGATTTTCATATACTTTGGCTATATGTAATAACAAAGCCATTAGCAAGATTGCATTTTTTGTTTGTTTGTTTGTTTGACTGTCTAAGAGAAATGTACAGAAAAAAATACCACCACAAAAAGCTGTTTTCCTTCTCAGGAGACTGATGCTTCCTGCCTTTTCCGCAAGGCAGCCCAGGCTCTGACTCTTAACACTCTCCTCCTCCTCCTCCTCCTCCTCCTCCTCTTCATCTCCACAGCTGGCTTCTCCTTTCAGTGCGGGCGCTTTGAGGGCACCGCCTCTGCATTCCAGTGAAGTCCCTCCAAGCAACAACCCTCACGCATTAAATTAATCCCCTTTCTGGCTGTGAGGATGGAGGCTGCGCTCGCTACCTGCCGGTTCCGACCCTGCTGCCCTGCTTTGTGCTGCAAAAGAAAGGCCCTGCACGGGAGCCGCCGGGGTGGGCGCCGATGGGTGACAGAGCCGCAGGGCGCGCGCGGTGCCAACGCTGCCCTTTGATGCATATTTACATGCAGCACGAGCATTAGTAAAACCCACGTGGTCTTCTCTTCGCATACGAGCCATCTTGACCATGTCCAGTAAGGTGGTGCCTTCAGTAGGGTGAAAGTGCAGTGGGTGGATTTGCTGGTGATCCTGCTGGTTTTCACAGCCCTGAATGGTGGGATTAGTGGAGATGTTTCTCTATAGTATATGGGCAGAGAGGGTGGCTGATTGAGGGCATACGATGGCTTCAAGCAAGTGACACAGCTTCAAAAGTAAGGTCATTTTGGTACCATTCAGATTTTTCTATCATTTGATTTCATAAATTCTTCCTTAACAACATTGGAAATTTTTTTTTTCTTTTTTGATCTGACAAAGGGAGATTCGGCAAGGTCTGTGGGTTGAGCTAAAAGCAGTAGCTTCATTAAAGAATACTTAGGATAGGACAGGTAGTATCTTAAGCAGACCTTCTATTTATGGGGACAAAGACACATTCAGCTAAAGTGAATTTTAGATAATTCTCTTAGCTTTTAAAATCATTCAGAAGCAGGATCATGTTTATGGAAAAAAATGTGTGTCAGATGGGATGGCTTTTGGTCAGGTTCTGCCAGGAAACCACTTGGATTAAAGAACCAACATCACTAACTGATGGTTACTATAATGTAGGAAGAGACATGTTACCCTGGCACAGTTTACACAAGTGTCCTTTCTGGTCTTGGTGATGCCCATATGAACCTCCATGACGTACCCACAGAAATCCTAGCCCTTTAGGAAGGATGTATTCTTTGACTGCTCCTATTTTTTTTTTTTTCTGAAAGAAAAGAAACTTATTTTAAACCTTCCACATTGATTAAAATTTTATCTTTAATATTTTAAACTTCAGAAGGCAATAGTCTATTCCTGTGGAAAAGAACCATGCCCATCTTTATTTCTGAAAATTATTTATAAATAGCTTATTTATTCACTTTTAGCTAACAGGACTGATGGACTCAGGCAGAAGAAACTGCTGATCTTTTAGATGGTTTAGTACCTATTTTATTGATAGGTTAAAAAAAAACAAACCTGTGCAGTCCACTTATTACCTCTAGTTCAAAAGATCCCATAGATCTGCAGGGAAGAGCCCAAGAATGCCATAAATTAGACACCCTGTGTCTTTCAACAACAAATAGATAGTGTTTGAGTTGATTCAAAGATGTTGGCAAGTGCTGTGATAGAGATTCCTGCTTATATCTGTCTGCCAGATGATGTTTCTGGACACACAGAATGTCATTGATGAGGTCTCGCTGCATCCCCAACCGGAGGATTTCTTTCCCTAGAAGACAAAAGAAGCCTTTTCATTTCCTATCAGCAGTAGGTGGATAAGGAGTGGAGGGAGGGCTGGTAAAGCCCAAGGAAGGCAGAGGAGAGCAGGACTGACACATTCACAGTACATGATTGAATTTGATGGCTTGGATATGCATACTGTGCACACAGGCAAAGGCCCACAGGCGTGAGGATTTCACTGCAAGTCTTGCACGATCTTAAGAAGTAGAAGTTACCTTTCAGTTTTGCCTTGTTCTGTGCTGCAAGACCTGAAAGAGGGTTTAAATTCCTGCAAAAATCTCTTTTATTCCCAATTATGTACATCCTTGGAGATTAAAAGAAAAAAAAAGAATATAAATTTTACATAAACTGTATTGCACACAAACTGCCCATAATAAGACTCCCATTTCATTTTGTCATGGAACAGAAATGCAGTTATCCAAATGCCACCCAGAAGAGCCAGGTAATCGGATGCTGATTCATGCTCTGTTACCAAAGTCTCCCTTTGGTATTTTAACTCCTAGCGTGCAATTTGGCCAGAGCAATCAAAATAACTCTCGGAGCCAAGCTCACATCATCAAACCATTCCTCAAAAAATCTATCACTGAATCACGGTTTATGAGTAGTTTAACTACAAGAAAGCAGGCAGCTGGAGACAGGATAAGGTAACCAAAAAATCTCCTTAAAGAATTATATTGGAACAGTGTTCAGCAAAATTCCCATTTGTGTATTACAGGGTGTTTTTAGAGCAGTAAAGTGAAATGTTAGGCTGCTGTTTAGGCTTGGTGATGCTCTGCTGTGAGACAGCCAAGCCGTTTCACCCTTCCACACCTGCCCACCACGTGTTTCCCTTCTCCTGAGTCTCCAGGAGAGCCGGATTTCTCCCTTCTAGAGAAATTCATAGA